AAAGAAAGAAAGAAAGAAAGAAAGAAAAGAAAAGAAAAGGAAAGAAAAAACAAACCAAAACTAGCTGTTCATGGTCTCATTTCTCAGATATTCCAGTCCAATAAAATCTAACTATGTAATTGATATGGAAAACAAACAATTCTTGTTTATAATAAGAAAAAATTTAACCTTCCTCAGACCAGAAGAGGGTAGAGGTGAGGGAAAATAATGCAACACACATTTAGAAATATATAATTTATTTATATTCACTGTAAGACAGTTTCACATTCGGTACACAGTTACCAGAAGAGATGGAACACTCCCAGAGTTTAACATGGTGTTATATTGCTATCAAACATTGTTTACACTGAGTAAATTGGGAAACACTTATCTTCCCCTTAAAAAAATTTAAGGCTCAGTTTCCAAAAGGTAATTTTACCACTCATTCTTCTGTTTAAAAAACTGGGAACATCCTGAAATAAACCTCAAAGGGGTAGAGGGTGAGAAGCAGCACACACGCCTGGCTCATTCATACCTCCCCTGAAGACAAAGTGATTTTTTTGTTGTTAAAGCCTCCTCCTGTTTGAAAATATGCTTCGGTACAAAATGAAACAAATCCGTAAATGGGAGAGGCACTACGTATAGATCTCTACTGTAACCACAAGGAAACCTTAAAGCTTTACCACCAGTGGCCCGCTAAAAAGTTGTTTATTCAAAACTTGCCTACATACAAATGCACACACACAGTAACCTGCATTCACCTTTCTTTGGTAAAGCTCACCAAGTAATACTTCTCTTCTAACACACTAGTAAAAAAATATTTACATTTGCTTTCAACTTTCAGATCAAGTGGCCACAAATCTGTCCTTTCTCCTAAATACGATCCTCATTTTTCTTTTCAACCTTGCAGTGGAACACAACCGTGGCAGTAACCTTGAACTGATGTGTACTCCCGCTGTTTAAGTGATTGGCGGAGGGGCGGGGTGGGGAGAAGGAGTGAGAAAACGAATCATGAAAAGAGCCTGGGGGATTTTTTTTGAGAATTGTCATATCAACAAGTTCCAAACACAGTGAGTTCCAAAAGTGTTTTAGAAGCACTTTTTCCTGTACAAATATTTCATTCAATCAACAATGACTTCATCATTTTACACAAGACAGAATCTGTTTAAAGTCAGTAAACTACCTTATAATTCATGAGACTATTGCTATGACAACAAAAGCCAAAAAGGGCCCCAGATGAGTTCTGCCTCTGGCGTAAAGAGGTAGAGACAATTCATCCTATAGAAAAGATTAACATTAAAAAACAAAAACAGTAAACCAAAACAATACTCCATTCTCCCTCTCACCCCACCAAAAACAACACATTCCATTTCTAGGGGCTAGTTCTGGTAAGCCAAATTTTATCACCAGGGTGGGATTCAGTCTGATTCAAAGAGATCCATTGCCTACAATCATCTTGCTGTAATTCTTCTGCTGCTCTTCCTTAAAGGTGTCCTTCACCTTTGCTCTCTTCAGCCCTCCATCCCTGGGAATAGAAAGGCAAATAAATGAAAGATATTCCCAGCAATGATGTAAAAGCATTTGCTGTTAACACACACTGTGTGGTGCCATGACACTTTAAGTGGCTGGTCAACAATGGGGCAAAGCACATGGGATTTGGAAGCAGAAAGACCAAGATTTCAGTCTCTGTTCTACTGACTAAATGTGTGTTACTCTGGGGAAGGAACGATCTCTCTGATGCTTAATTAAAATATAGAATAATATCTCCACTCAGTTTCCTTTTAGAAGTTAGGGTTGCTAGGGGCATCTGGGTGGCTCAGTCTTTTAAGCGTCCGACTTAGGCTCAGGTCATGATCTCACAGTCTGTGGGTTCGGGCCTGCGTTGGGCTCTGTGCTGACAGCTCAGAGCTTGGAGCCTGCTTCGGATTCTGTATCTCCCTCTCTCTCTGCCCTCCCCCACTCGCACTCTGTCTCTCTCTCAAAAATGAATGACCACTGGAAAAGAAAAAATTAAGAAGTTAGGGTTGGTATATTCAATATTTGGAATTTACATCGTTTTTTTTTAACTTTCTAAATGTTTATTTTTTAGAGAGACAGATTGCAAGCAGGGAGGAGCAGAGAGAGAGACAGAGACAGAGACAGAGAATCTGAAGCAGACTCCAGGCTCTGAGCTGTCAGCACAGAGCTAGACGCAGGGCTCCAACTCACAAACTGAGAGATCAGGACCTGAGCAGAAGTCAGATGCTTAACCAACTGAGCCACCCAAGGCACCCCTGGACTTTATATTAAAACTAGGATTGTTTGCCTGTCTTTTTCGGCAAGGAAAGCAAACTATTGTTTTCTTTCATCCAATAAACCTATGTCTTACTAGAAAACCCATATGGAAAATTTAAGGTACACTCAAATAATGGTGAGGGTACTGTGTATGTACCGGTAAATTCCTTACAGATAAATGGGTTAATCATTATTCAAACCAAAGCCTTTCTTCCTTTCTTTCCTATGTCTACATAGGAAGACATATGGAAAATACATAGAAAATATAGGAAAGACACAGGAAAATACAATGAAAAGTTGTATTTTCATTCAAAGCACTACATATTTCAAGCATTAATGATCTCCCATATTACAAAACAGACTCAGAATAAAAATGAACAACAAAATCATAAATTGCATTTAACCAGTAGGTAGTGCCTATGTAAGTAGCATTCCTTAATTCAGAGTCTGTGAATCTCTGAACTCTCTCCACGGTGGTGAAAACACAGAGCTGCCTGGGTTATAAGGACTCTGCATGCCTTTCCTTCTTTGGTCAACACAAAGGAACAACAAACTGTAAGCTCTGAGAGGAGAACTGGACTATAAGGGGCCACGATCTCTCTCCTAATCTAATGTTTTTGATTTTAACTCCTAAGCGCATAGATGGTGAACTTGCTTACCTTATACTGTACCTGTTTAATTTTAACCCAGTTAAACACAAATGTTTACCAAGTGCCTTCCGATGATGATGAATGGATCACAGGTTAGCCTGTAAACTCTGCCATGAGGACAGAACTTGACCTACAAACAGACGCCCGCCTGAACCACTGCAATGTTTTGGCCTCTGAAGTCAAAACCAAGACTCAGCCTGCCAGTGAGTCCTCAACTTAAAAACAGACTAAAGTCCACACATCTTCCAGGGGCTCAGATGTAGGAAATTTCCATGAAACAAAGTTATAAATTGTTATTAGCTCCCCAGAATTGTCCCCCAAAGCCTCTTTTATCCAGAAGAGCTGCCTCTAACTATTCATAGCACTGATGTGAATTCTGAATAGTAGGAACTAAGTGGGGGGGCGGGGGGGGGGGGGGGGGGGGGGGAGGCAGAAGAAAAGCCTTTCTTTCTTTCCTAAGGTCCAAGCCAAAACTGACAAAACAGTTAAAAACATTTGCCCTTGAGCATCCTGACATTATTTTGATGCAACTATCCCAAGCACCCAGGTATCACACACAGCTCTGAGCACCCCAACTGTGACCTGCCCCCTCTAGAGACTTTAAGTGTTTTACCCAGTTCCCCTTTGCAATGGCAGCAGACCTGAGCTCCTAAGGATAGCAGCAACCATATGTAAAAACCTGTTTAAGATGATACAACCGAATTCTCATTTTATCTCGGAAAAAAGCCATGTAGACATGTTAATTCATACTCAGTGTGTGAATGACAGGTACACCTGGAAAGGCAGTGAGCCTTGCATATGGCCCAATAAAAGGAAATTGAAAAATTCTCAAAATCTGACAGATTTTCTTTAAGCCAATCTGATTGGGATCTGTCCTGTGGCTGACTTCCTTAGGCTGTTGTCTTTCAAGACTTTCTTCCTTTCTTTGGTGTCTGAGGCTACTGATCCCAAACTCCTAGATTTTCATATGGCTTCAGGGCAGGAGGAGGGCTTTGATGTCAGGTGAGAGGAAGCAGAGTAAAGAACTGAAAACAATGAGGAAAGAGGAAGCCAGGTCCAGAGTGAACTTGGATTCACTAGGGCATTGATAAACTAGGACATGTATAAGTCTGTCATTTCATGATATTATGATGTCTGTAATTTAGTTTCACCTATTTCAGCTTAGGTAGTGTGATACAAATGTTAGTTTTAGCCTATCTTGACCCTAGTCCTGGCCTTAGGGCCAGTCAAGTTGCCCTAAATCAAGAACTCATACTCTGGGGATGATCAGCCAGGCATTTAATTAGAAGGCCACCCTCCAAAGGTGTCACTATAAGGCATCAGCTATCTTTGTCTCCCATCAACTTCCCCACCTTTGTTAATTCACATAATGAATTTTAGAAATGGGTTTTCACTACAGAAATGACTGGCTTCCTAATTAGCATAACAGACGCCAGAAACAGGTTTCTTGGGTGAAATTGGTTGTACTCAAGGTATATGAATGGATAAAATATTCTAGAGACATTCCCCACCTTTGCATAAAGGAGTATAAGAACCCAGCAAGCCCTTATTCCAGAGGCTAATTCCCGAGCAGTCCCGGGTCCCTTTGCAGTTGGCTGAACTGGCTGACAACCTGACTCAGTCAAATCCTGCTCCTAGAACATAACTATAATTGCCTTAAGTGAACTTTTCATGCAAAGTGTTTTCAAAACACCAAAAATGATAAACAGAGGGACTTTATTAAACTTACAGGATTTGAAGTATGAACTGGTTTTTTTAAAGTTTATTTTGTATTTATTTTGAGGGGGGAGGAGAGAGAGGGAGAGAGGCAGAGCAGGGGGAGGGGGCAGGGATAAAGAGAAAGAATTCCAAGGAAGCTCTGCACTATCAGCACAGAGCCCAACACAGGGCCCAGACTTATGAACCATGAGATCATGACCTGAAACAAAATCAAGAGTGGACGATTAACCAACCGAGCCACCCAGGTGCCCCAAAGTTGGAACTGCTTTATGCAAGCTTGCTAACATAATGTCTGTGTGTGTGAGAATTTAATCTCCCACTATAATGTAGGTATATAGTTAACCCTCACTGATACAGACTAAATGTTTATGCCTTCCCCGCCCCCCTCCATTCATATATTGAGCCCTAACCTCCAATATTTAGATGGTATTTAGAGAAGGGGCCTTTGGGAAGTAATGAGGTTTAGATGAGGTCAGAAGAGTGGTCACGAATCTTCAAGATAGGATTAATGTCTGTATAAGAAGAGACACCTGTGAGCTTGCTCGCTTCTCTCTCCCCATACTCATACAAAGACGAGACTGTGTGAACACAAGGCAAGAAGACGGCCATTTGCCAGCCAAAAGGGAGAGAGAGCTCTCACCAGAAACCGACCTTGCTGGCACCCCAATCTCAGATTTCCAGCCTTCAGAACTGTGAGAAATAGTTTGTTTTTTAAGTCAACCCCATATATGGTAGTTTGTTATGGCAGCCCAAGCAGACTACTACACTCCCCTACATTCAACCTTCCTCAAACAAAGAAAAAATTAAATCCAAAGTTTCCATAACTAAAATATTTCACTTATTTCCTTTCAAGTTTTTAAGTTTTCTCTAATTTAGTTATAGCTAGCATTAAATATGAACAAGCCTATAAGTTGCCCCTTGCTCCCAGGGTCCGTCCTCCAACCCCAAATCTATTCTCACGTTCTTCTTCAGTAAAAAAACGCTAACAGCTAGACACATGGCCTTCCAGAACAAAGACGGCATTCTCCAGCCTTCTTCGTGGTTGCTGTCATATTACTTGAGTTCTAGCCAATGGATACAAATGGAAGTGGCTGGTCCAACCTATAATGGTAATAATGAGAGGGGTGTGTCCTTGTTATAAGTCTTCCCTACTGGCCATTTTCTGGACACATGGAGTAGCCCTGAAGCCATCAGCCTGGACCCGAAAGTGGAAGCACACTGAGGATGGGATACAGAATGAGCTGTTATACGAGCCTGTGCAGCCTGTGTTTAAGCAAGAGGGATAAACTTCTACCTTATTTAAGCCATTGGTATCTAAGTAAACCGCTCTTTCAGGTAAACCTCTGGCTAGCTAGCACAATAAATGACATTACTAAAGACGATTTTTTGGGGGGTGCCTGGGTGGTTGAGTGTCCAACTCTTGATTTCAGCCCAGGTCATGATCCCAGGGTCATGAGATTAAGCCCCATGTCGGGTTCTGCATTGAGCATGGAGCCTGTGTACCACATTCTCTCTTCCTCTCTCCCTCTCCCCCACTCGCTCACTATTTCTTTCTCTCAAAATAAACACACTTCTAAAAATAAATAGATAAATAATGCAAAATAAAAGTGATTTTTTTAATGAAAAAGAAATGATAGTACGTCTAAAAAATTTCTTACCAGGGAAGCTCAGTCAATCCTCCTTGCACAGCAATAGCAGACTTAACCCTGTTAGCAAACTGGACAGCATCTTCTCCTTCCTGGGGAAAAGAAAATTACAAGTACATCCTGGGAATAGAGTTTTCAAACAATTCTTAAAATATCTCACAATCATTTAGATTTGTTTTAAAATGTAAGAGTCACCTTTTAGCTCAGTTCTGTTCTCAATCATAGCAAATATCATTTGGTCTGCCAAGAAAATGCAGTGCTGTAATGTTTAATTTTTATCGTGTACATATATTATTAGCCTTACCAATATGTAACATTCCATAATATTTGTAGGTTCGCTAAACCAACAGCAAGTATAAAAACCATTATGGAAAAGAGTTTCTGAATATAAAAGAGCCTGACTTAAAGACGGCCAAATACATTTCGTTTTAAATGACTCGTTTGCTGAGAGAACAGAAAGGAAGCCCAGCTCTTGCTACTGTGAAGAAGGCAGGCACCCAGGTTTTCAGGGAAAAGTGTTCTCCCCTGGATCTGACTGGATAAAGCACCAAAGACCAGTTGTTATCTATGGATACCTCTCTGGTCATGGGGGGCATGTACCACACGTCACAGACGATGGCCCAGCTGGTCATCATTCGAAGCAGGTAGCTCACCATGTTGTATTTACTACTGTTCCAAAATGCATCCCCAAACTGAGGGTTATACTGGGGAAAAAAAAAAAAAAAAAAAGAAGTAAAAGAAAGAAAAAACATTGCAGTCATGAACTAAGTGATGGCTTATCCACGTTAGTGTTTCCAAGGCGACAGGCCAAACATCTCTACTGAACCCCAAGAGAAAGAGAAGCTACTTTGCTTGATAGAAATGATCAAAAAAGTAAACCAGGCCAGCTAACTCCTCTGACCAGAGCCCCAGAGTGCTGCAATAAGAGAGTTATCCACATGAGTCTTCAATATCTGTCTCCCACTTCACTGAAATTGAGTGAAAGTAGGCACAGTACCTCTTTTGCTTATTACCGTGTCCTCGGTACTTAATAAAATGCCTGGTACACAGTCCCCTGGAACCCGTCTGTATATGTACCAATAGAGACAGAATGATTGAGCAAACAGGGCAAAATGTAAACAGTTGGTGAATCTGAATAAAGAGTATACAAATGCCTTAAGGAAGACCTTATACACAACAGGTCTTTAGAATATGTTGGTTGGCTAAATATCTCTAACATAATGGCAACACAATATTTCCACCAAGTAACAGTATAACTGTGAGACAAATTACATGACATCTCTGAGACTCAATTTACAAACTGAGAAAGTTTAACTAAAGTTGTGGTTTCTAAACATTCTGGGTTAGCAGCAAATTACCAATCCTTTTCTTCAATTACATCTCATGCAGAATCCCAGGATATAAAACAGATTTGCAAAAAGGAAAAACAGATGTGGAGAAAAGAGATCGTTGGTGCACTGCTGGTGGGGACGTAAATCAGTACAGCCACTATAGAAAACAGTATGAGAGCGTCCTCAAAAAGTCAAAAATTAGAACTACCATATGATCCAGCAACCTCACTTTTGGGTATGTATCCAATGAAAGTGAAAACAAGATCTTGAAGAGATATCTGCCCTCCTATGTTCACTGCAGCATATTTTTCACAATAGCCAAGATATGGAAACAACCTAAGTGTAGGTCAACAGATGAATAAAGATGTGGGGTGTGTGTGTGTGTGTGTGTGTGTGTGTGTGTGTGTGTGTGTGTATACAGATGACATTTGTGCCAACACAGATGGACCCTGAAAGCATCATGAGGAGTAAAATAAGTCAGACAGAGAAAGGTAAGTACTGTATAGCCTCATTTATATGTGGAATCTAAAAAAGCTGGACTGATAGAAACAAAGATTAGAAAGGTGGTTACCAGGGCCTGAGGAGGAGAGACGGCACAGTGGACGAACTGGGGAGATATTGGTCAAAGACAACAGACTTACAGTTATTAAGATAAGCAAGTCCTGGGGACCTAATACACAGCATGGTGAATATAGTTAATAACACTGTATATTGTACACCTTAAATTTACACAATGTTATATGTCAACTATATCCCAATAAAGCTGGGGCAGGGGGAAGAGTGTACAAGCACTTGTTATTCTTACAGATTTTAACACTGAAGTTATATCAAAATAAAGTTACCAAGTCACTCCCCTTTGGGGAGCCTCGGGGCAGGGGGGGGTGGTATATCTGTTTTACCTTAATTGCAACTGGATGTATGGTTCCTCCAATTTCAAAGCTTCCCTTTTTAAACATCATGACTGAAGTATTGTTGATGCAAGTCCCTGCAGAAGGGAGAAAAGGGTATGGTGACTATTTTTAAAGGCAGTTTTTCTCTTTTCAACAAACTTTTAAAAGGAATTATTTTGACACAAAATAAAATATTCAAATCCTAGCAAAACTGGAGTTTACTCTTATTTCACAAATCAATCCCTGCTTAATTAAGTAACTCAACAGTTCTAAGCAAGTTTAAAAACAAACTTTTGCTTTGTTATTAAATACTCTGGAGATAAAAGTTTTGCACAACAGGTGATAATTTTAATACTTTTTTTTTTTTTTTAATTTTTTTTTTCAACGTTTATTTATTTTTGGGACAGAGAGAGACAGAGCATGAACGGGCAAGGGGCAGAGAGAGAGGGAGACACAGAATCGGAAACAGGCTCCAGGCTCTGAGCCATCAGCCCAGAGCCCGACGCGGGGCTCGAACTCACGGACCGCGAGATCGCGACCTGGCTGAAGTCGGACGCTTAACCGACTGCGCCACCCAGGCGCCCCAATAATTTTAATACTTTAAAAAATACTTTAAAAAATTAGGAACACTACCTATCCAAGTTCATTACCCAGAAATAACTTTTAAGATCAAAGAGGCACCATCCCTTCCATCAAATGTCAAAAGAAAGCAAGGGATTATTGGCTCAGAGAAGGCCATCCCATTCCTATAGGACAGCAGAGATCTGGACTAAGAGTGAACTTCTAGAACAATCTGATGCCTCACATACTTTTGGTGCTGGTTGTTATCAACTATAGCTTGGTAGGCAGTTACCCTTCTTACCTTCAGGAAAGATTAATATGGGTAGTTTTTTCTTATCAGCAATGTGTTCTTTTAGTCTGTGAAGAAAAATAAAGGATCAGAATGCTACCTTTATAAAAATAGAGGTGGGAATCCACTTTGGTGTTTACACTCCACTAGCACAAATATAATTGTATAGCAATAAGGAGGGGGAAAAATAAGACATAAGTAAAGGGATAAACTCAAGTTGGTCCCTTTCTAAAAAGCATAATGCTATCTGTACTATTTTAATTTCTCTCATTTCAAAGTGAGCAGTTTTCAGTGCCTTCTGCCTACTCTTAAAATAGAACGCTAGGCAGTCATGTGACATGAGCTCTGGAGCCCCCTGTGTCATATAGTTTGTACCCTTCTCCATGTACTTATATTTCCTCATCTGAAAAATGAGAATACTGATCACTGGAACCTGTCAGGCTCATGGCCATTGAGTGTAAAGAAATTCCTTAAATGAGTCAGGCTCAGCTTTCCTGTGATATGTAATAGAGATGCCAGAAAGCTGAGAACATGGAAGTTCTTCCAGGCTTAGGTCCTGTCTCCCCTGCAGCCAGCTTTATATTCCCAACTGCTCACCAGAAACTGGTAAGACTGAGAGAGAGAAATTACAGCTACCCGTGTCCCATGTTAAATAATCTCAAACTGGGGAATGGTTTCACTAACCTTCAACAGATTTCAACAAGTACTTTTCATCTTACTCTTAAAAGCATGCCCTACCTTCAAGTTTCTAGAAGCAATAACCAGACGGCCTTCACTTAAAGGCCTCAGGCAAAAAGCTGTTGTTTCCCAACAAAGGCTTCTGGTAGCTCCTCTCAATCCCAAACCCCAGAGATTTCTTCTGTTCCATAAAGAGCATTAGCTCTGCCAGTCTCTTGATGGATTTAAATGATAAGAGACATTCAGCAAACAATCAGCCATCTATTTACTCAGCAAACAGTTACCAATTATTTAACTTTCGTGGTAGTAAGTTTTAATTCTGAAAATTCAGTGACTGGACTATACCTAAACCACAGCAATACAAAATGTATGGGACTTCTAATCTCATCCTATAACCCACTATGACTACAGAATTCAAATTTTTAGGAATGTAGCTCAGACAGGTGATTCAGCAAAGAAAAGTCAACCACAAAGAAAACCCCATATATTTTAGGTTTAATCCTTAGTACTGTTCTGCTGTCTTTGCAGGAAGGCCAAGATTTATCAGATTTTATGCTACCCCAAAGAACACCGAGCAATGTCTCTGTTTACCGCTTAGTGACCAGGTGTCGATCTTTCATTTCCGATCGTTCAAACCAGACATGCGGACAAGCCTTCACCATGGCTCTCTGAATAATTCCCATCAATCCACCGTGAACCTGGCCAACCTAGAAGTACCATTAGAAAAAAAGAAAAATGTCCTGAGAAACTTAACAGAAACCCAGGGGGGAGGGGAAGGGGAAAAAAAAAAGAGGTTAGAGTGGGAGAGAGCCAAAGCATAAGAGACTCTTAAAAACTGAGAACAAACTGAGGGTTGATGGGGGATGGGAGGGAGGGGAGGGTGGGGGATGCGTATTGAGGAGGGCACCTTTTGGGATGAGCACTGGGTGTTGTATGGAAACCAATTTGACAATAAATTTCATATATTGAAAAATGAAAAAAAATAAATAAAAATTAAAAAAACAAGAAGTTCTCATAATAAGAAAAACATTTGCAACTATGTATGGTGATGATGTTAACTACATTGATTTTGGTGATCATTTCAGAATATACACAAATATTGAGTCTTTATGTTGCATACCTTAAACTAATAAAATGTTCTATGTCAAATACACTGCAATAAAAAATAAAGATCTCAAAAAAAAAAAGAAAGAAAAATGTGAAGGCACAGATATGCAAAGAAAGCTTTTTTTTTTTTAAAGTGCCAATAAGTTCCTATTCCCCACCAAGAGAAAAGATTGGCCTTCTTCTACTGACTGAAGTTCTTAGTCTAATCAAAAGATATGAATGGCCAGATATAAGCAAAAAGTGTTCGTTAGTAGCACCTTTGAATTTAAACTGTGTTCCTACACTAGTTATAATCTAGCTTTAAAAAGTAAAGGTCTTTCAACTCAGTCAAGATAAGGGAAATGCAAATTAAAACTACACTGAAATACCATTTTTCAATCATCAGACTGACAAGGACTCAAAAGCTTAACAATGCACTCAGAGCCAAGACTACAGAAAATGGCAATCGTACATTGCCTGGGCTGGGGGAGATTATAACACCCATAGAAGAAAACTTGGCAGTATCTATCAAAACTACATACACATTTATCCTTCAACTCAGTAATCCCACTTCTGGGAATTTACTCTGAAGATACACCTCCAACAAGATGAAAGTACATATGCACGAGGCTTTAATTGTAAGATTATTTGTAATTTCAAGATACTGGAAACAACCTAAATATTCAAACTTTAGGAAATCAGATGAATAAACTATGATACATATATGCAATAGAGTATCATGCAGCTGGGAAAAGAGAAGGTTGATCTCTATGACTGATAAGGCGTGATGTGATTTCCAGGAGATGCTGGTTGGGGTTCTGGTTTTGTTTTCTTCTAATTTAATTTTTTTTTAATTTGAGTATAGTTGACACACAATGGCACCCTAGTTTCAGTTGTACAACATAGTGATTCACCATCTCTATACGTCATGCTATGCTCACCAGTCAGGCAATATTGTTAAGTGAAAAAAGCAAATTGCAAAAAAAGCAAACATAGTATGCTACCTTTTGTGTAAGACAGAAGGAAAAATATATGTTATATAATTATATATATTATATTATATTATATTATATTATATTATATTATATTATATACATTTCTACAAAAAGAAAAAAAATCCAAAGCAGCGAAGCTGGAAACTTACAAGGATCAGAGGGAACCGGGCTGAATGGACAGCGGGAGGGGAGGAAGCAACACAACTCTGAGCATGCCTTTGCTGTTTAACATTTAGAAGCACGCCAACAATAAACAACAACAATGGGACTAGTAAACTGAAAGAAAACTGAAACAAATAAATCCAACTGTATTTCAAATGAATAAAAGAACAACACTGAAAGAAGGAGAAAAAAAAATCTAAGAAATGTACAAAGACGAGTATTTGACCACACACCCTCCATCTCGGGGAAAACTACAAAATATCCTGATTTTTTTTTTTTTTACATTTGTTTTTGTAGTGAAACAGGTGAAGCAATTCTGAAACAATTCTAGATGTATTGGAGGATTGAGAAAAGAGGTAAATATGTTGAATGTTGGGCGCCAGGGTATTCACTATGAAAAAAAAGGAGATACAAATATGGATGGGAGGGAAAGCAAGAAAGAACCCTATGAATTGCATGAATTGGCACAGACTCAAATTTCCAATAGTATATTAATATTAGAAATAATATTAATACCAATATATAAAAAAATAAATAATTTACATACATTTTTATGTAGAGAGACAGCAGGAAAACCAGTGCATGATAAAGCAAATAGGACAAAACAGTACCAATAGGTAAATGTGAATAAAGGGTATATGAATGTTCTGCATACCATTTTATTATTACAATTTCTCTGTACCTTAGAAAATCTTTCTAAATTTTTTTAAAAATTAAGAAGTCTTTGTTTAGGAGGAAAGAGGGCTTTAAAAATCTTCTTCAGATATATAGTTTACTTGTAGCCGAAAGAGGCCAGAAGTGACCTCTGGAGGTCAACGATACAGTTTCCTCCCACTTCTGCCCTTTATTGCCTCTGATCTAAATCTCATTGGCTTTAGGTTTCTATCACTCAACCCAATGGAAAGTTAGCAGGCTCTACGCTTTTCTAAACTTTGGCTAATGTTATAACTGCAGTTACAACAATAAAAAAGCCAACAAAATTCTGAGGCCCTCAGTCACAAATGAGTTTTATTCAACTTTTTGTTGACAGGGACAGAGAACAAATATGGACCCAGAAACACAAAATCATAATTAAGTAAGTTGGTTAAAATGCCTGAGCCTCTGCTTTCTCATCTATAACAAAATCTCAGCCTTAATCCCACCGCATTACAGGGAAGGTCACATACGCATGTGAATATGCTTGTCCACATAAACGCAAGGAACGGTCATACACCCAGAACTGTACTGGGGTCTACCAAGGATTGTTAACATAAGGGTCCTTGCATGGGCTTTCTAAGAAGCCATAAACATCTTGAAATTATGCACAAAATTGTGCTTGTATGATGCACATGTATGTCATTGTTTTTCTCAAGAAAGGGTACATAACTATTAACTGATTCCTAACCTAAAAAAGGTTAAGAACCACCAATTCCCATAAGTCTTTTCCTAGAAGTAGTTAAAGCTTCCTTGGATTTAGAAAAAGCTCCACAACTTAAAGATTAAATGTGGTTGCATGGGGCACCTGGGTGGCTCAGTTGGTTAAGCATCAGGCTTTGGCTCAGGCCATGATGTCTTAGTTCCTTAGTTTGAGCCCTACATGGGGCTCTCTGTGGTAACAGCTGGAGCCTGGAGCCTGCTTCAGATTCTGTCTCCCTCTCTCTCTGCCCCTCCTATGCTCATGCTCTGTCTCTCAATAATAAATAAACATTAAAAAAAATTTTTTTAAATAAATAAAAAAAAATGCAGTTTGCACAAGTGTTGTATATCTGAACTTATTGACAGAGAAAGGCAATGTGTTATATATATATTTGTCTTTCTCGTCTGATCTTCATTAAAAAGTCTGATTTTTTTGTTTGCTTGTTTAATTGTATATGACTCCCTGAATGAAGACAGAACTAATTGGCTGGTAAGGGATTTGCACAGCTCTAAGGAGAAAGACTTTAATGTCTTGAAGTGTTATTGAACATTGCAGGGATTTTAGAAGCAAGATGAAGTCAACTTTGTAAATTCCTATCAAGTTCATGTATGTCTATATTTCACTAAGCTAAATTTTTTACCATCTTTTTTTTAAAAAAGAGATTGATCCATTTATTCATTTTTATTTTTTAAAGGTTTTTTTTTTCTTTTTAGTAATCTTTCCACTCAAGGTGGGGCTGGAACTCACAACCCTGAGATCAAGAGTCTCACACTCCACCGAGTCTCATACTCCAGCCAAGTGTCCCCAATTTTCTATTACCTTAAATATAATGGCTATTTTCTTTCTTTTTCTTGCCCCATATAGTCCTCATTTAATGTGTTATATAATTCATACAGCTATAGTAGTATAACCGAGTCACTTTCTAATATAAAACTTTCTAATCTGTGCCAAAATAAATTAAAAGTTTGAACAATCCACAAACCATGCAATTACTTGAACTATCAATGAGCTGCTCTTACCATAGCATAGCATCCATCTGTTGTCAAGATCAAAACATCTATTGGAGAAGTATGGTTGGCAACACAAATGCCTCCCTTCTGGGGTCTGTACTGTCTGCAATTACAAACAGTGGTAAATACTATACCCTGGAAAAGAGCCACTATTTTGCAGCATGTAGAGATTCATCCTATTTTACTTTAAAAAGTACATTAAAAGTACAGTTTCAAAGTATATGGGCTCATCTTATTTCTGGGCAGTATGATGGGAGTGGGGTAAGAGTAGATAGAGAAGAAGGGGCCCATGACTTTCCCTTTATATATATTTACATTGTTTTTTTGTAATGATCATATTTTCCTTTTATAATGAAAAAGTAATTTAAAAATATTAGATTCAATTACAAAGATTCCACAACTTTAATATTGTGATATGTAAGTTTCACATCTCTTATAAGTATTTTCATATTATTCCACTCTTTAAATGCATCACTTTTAGTAGTTTCACAAGACCCAAAAAGTAAATTTACTGTAGTTTCCTCCCTCTTATCCCCCTAAAGCAGAGGCTGGTAACTTCTCCTACTGAGGGCCATAATAAATATTTTAGGTTTTGCAAGCCAGCCAATCCCTGTCAAAACTACCACATTCTGCTATTTGGGCACAACGGCAGTCACAGACAATATATAAATGAGTAAGTTTCAATAAAACTTTATTTACAGAAAACAGATGGCAGGCCACATTTGGCTTCCAGCCCCATAGTTTGCCGACCTTTATCTTAAAGTTCAACCAGTATTTGATATTAATGAAGCAAAGTAGTTTTTGTTGGCCGTATACAAAGAAGAAAGGCAACCAAATGCATAACAACTTTAGCATGTTTTCTTTAAAATTAGAAGTAATTCGGGGCGCCTGGGTGGCTCAGTCGGTTAAGCGTCCAACTTCAGCTCAGGTCACGATCTCACGGTCTGTGAGTTCGAGCCTCGCGTCGGGCTCTGAGCTGATGGCTCAGAGCCTGGAGCCTGCTTCCGATTCTGTGTCTCCCTCTCTCTCTGACCCTCCCCCGTTCATGCTCTCTCTGTCTCAAAAATAAATAAACGTTAAAAAAAAATAATAAATAAATTAGAAGTAATTATATAATAAGTTACGAACTCTCTATGTAATTAAAGCACCTTTTCTGTAGATAGTATTTCTTCTGATCACAGTTCTATCAAAGCATTTTCTTCTACTTTTCACCCCAAAACACACAGCTCAATGAAAAAATCATGTAATTTTAGAATCTTAAGGGGCCTCTCAATGTTGGTAACACATGGTAAAGCCAAATGAGAAAATGTTTCCCTTCTACAAATGAGACAGAAAGACCCAGTCAGAAAAAAAAAAGAGAGAGAGAGAGAGAGAACTTTTAAAACAATGAGATTAAACGTAAAAAAATAAAACTGAGTTAACAGAAAAGTAATTAAAACAACCAAAATTACTTCAATCAGCTAACAAGTTAGCTACCACTACCCCTACCCTCTATAGTTAGGGGTGAGGGAAGCAAAGTGTGGGTGTTCTGTCTCAAGGCTCAGTTACAGAATTTCAGAAGCAGCGGGACTGAGACTGGAAACCAGGCCTCAAGACTCGAAGACCAGTCCTCCTTCCTCCACACCACAGGCCTGTCAACTTCATGGCTTTTTATATCGACAGACCCAGTTCACAACCTGACTCTGCCACGTGCCAGGCATGTGACCCTAGACAACCAATCCCAGGGCTCCCAGCTCTTCACCTGTAAAACAGGACACCGGTGTCTCTCTCATAGGATGGCCTATGAGAAGCTCGGGCCTGGCTGCACACCATAAATGCCCAATTTTGGTTTTTTTGTTTTTGTTTTTTTTCATTATTTTTGAGAGGTGGGGGAGGAGGGACAAAGAGCCTTAAGTGGGGCTCAAGCTCACAAACCATGAGATCATGACCTGAGCCAAAGTCAGACGCTTAATGGGCTGAGCCACCCAGGCACCCCTGCCCAATTTTTAAGTGTCATCACATGTCTATTATTATGTTCCTTCTGCAAATGGATGGCTTTTTAAAAGGTTTTCGGGCAAAATTGTTATGTCTGTGACACTCTAAGCAGCAAGAATGAACACACTGGAAGGACTTTCATTTCATCTGCTTCCTCCACCCGCTACTGTCAGTCATGGGCTGGACTTCCTGAACAGAAAGGCAGAAGGAAGCAGGCACACACTCACTTGTTATGGTAATGAATGGTACCAGAGAGGGCTCGCACACAGATCCGGCAGCAAGTCAGGTGAACCAGTTCACTCAGCCAGTTTTTGAGGCTGAAAAAAAGAGGAAACATTTTATGGTGCAGTTCTGGGCACTGCTAAGAGACAACAGAATAAAAACTTCAATGTGCTCCTTCACAGCAGCATACTGTGTTCTGAAACACAAGCACAGTTCAATTCTTAAAGTCTCATTGACGCATTAGGACAAAATTCTAATGGAAAATAGCTCCTGCCCTACTAGACTATCATGATAAATGCCTGACCAAGATTAGCTGAAGCTTCTCTGGTCTCAGCCTGATGAGCCTGACCGGATGATAACGCTCTTGTGGTTTCCTTGAGTCCCTCACTCTATTTTCTTTTCTTCATTTCCCCTTTGAAAAACAATTTCTTAGGATTTATATGAAAGTGTGGTGGCAAATCAGATGAAGACTATGAATACGAAGTAAGCAAAATTTTAATAAGTGTGCTGGGGCCATAAATTTGATGCAATACATAGGAATCAAATATTCTTTTTTGAGGATAAGGCCAAGAAAAGGGACGATCCTATTTATGGCTGGGTGGAGGCAAACATTTCACCTGCCATCTGGAAGCTGCCCAACCAGTGTAGTTCCCAATACCAACAAACTGATCCCAATGAAAGCCAAGGTAACCCTGAAAAAGAAAAGAAAAGGTAATGTGAAAGTTAGTTGAATAGCAGCAGTAGAGGGAAATAACCTGAAAATTCATAAATAATTACATTGTAAATAAGTTGCGAAACATGTATGGCAGTGCCATTAAAAAGAATCAGGTAGGGGCACCTAGGTGGCTCCATCAGTTAAGCTTCTGACTTCGGCTCGTGAGTTCGAGCCCTGCATCAGGCTCTGTGCTGACAGCTCAGAGCCTGGAGCCTGCTTCAAATTCTGTCTCCCTCTCTCTCTGCCCCTCCCCACCCCCAACTCATGCTGTCTCTGTCTCTCTCTCTCTGAAAAATAAATAAACATTAAAAAATTAAAAAAAAAAAAAAGAATCAGGTAAATCTATAGATCCTGACATGGGAGAATGGTCCTTGGTACTTTTGAGAGAAGAAAAGCAAAATTAATTTCAAAATAATATGTAGAGTATGATAACCATTTTCAAAATGACAGCAAGCATATAACTAGTTGATAGATGCATAGAGAAGGCTTGGAAATTTATTTATAAAGCTATCAAATTCAATCTATGTAATCACTAAAGGGTTAAGCGGGTTAGTGACAAGAATAAATTTAAAGGCTTGCCCCTTTTGCTTTTCAGAATTATTTTAATTTTCAAAAATATATTCATATTAACTAACATCTTATATAACAAAAAGTTTTATGTTGTATAAAGGAGTCACATCAGGTTGAAAGGAGTTATCTAATTCTGTTCAGGATACATTGGTGGGCATAGTGTGGGTGTAAAAGAAAATATTTTCCAAAGGTATGAAAGTAACTTGTTTTTCTGTGTTTTTTCATGATGGAGGGAGGTACAATTCAAATTTTTCTCAAGGGAATTTAAAATTTATAGCAAATCGCAAGAAAAGCTCTTTCATATTAAGGACACCAAATTATATCACCATGTAGAAATCCTTTAATGCAGACCTTTGTCCCTTTGCATGTTTGTGGTAACTCACATCTAATCTCCACAAAGACACTTTCTCAGTTTTGAAAAGTGCTTTTAATATACATTCTAATCACTTCAGAAAGAAAATAGTCACCTTTAGAAATGTAAGTAGAATTAACCCAAAAAGAAAAAATTGAGATTTAAAATCTTTCCAAATAAGGGGGACTTCCTTATAAACACCTTCTTAAGGTATGAAACCTTGTTGAAGTCTTATTTTAAGACCTTTTGACAGAACAATTTGAAGTTCAGATTCCATTTTCTTTCGATGCCACATTTTCATGCCAGCACTGATGCAATAACTAAATCACTGCTTAATCTCATTCACCAATTATGCAAAAGTTTTAAAAGAACGTTTTGCTATCCTGCCGTAATGGCAATCATTTGTTCCTACACATTAAGTCAGAAGGGCCTTACATTTTAACATGTTTCATAATTGGGTTCAAAACTATTGAAAGCTTTTATTTGCTTGATGAACGGGCCAAAAAATTCTGTTTTCCAATTTAAGAGAGCCAACATGAGAGTTCTCATAGATGACACTACTTTTCAGCCACAACTTGTTTTTTATAAGAGTTCTACTGAGATACAATTTACATATCATACAATTTACCCCTTTAAAGGGTTCAATGGTTTGGGGCATATTCACAGAGTTGTGCAACCATCAACATAATCAATTTTAGCACAATCTGCTTTTTGAGTGTTCACTTTGTAGCAACAGCTCATCTTATAAAGCATTTACAGAGCAATTCTTTCACACTGAAGAGTATGTACTAAGTAGGAGTCTCAATTCTGCCATTTCTTCTTGTTCTTGGGTGCTTACATTCCTGGATTATCCTACACCTGCTTTCTTCGCAAGAATCTTTTATGTTATTTCTTTAGTTTGTGAGTGCTACTTAAATGTAACTAGATAACAGAATCATAATACCATTTGCTGGCAGCCACAGCAGCTAAAAGCTAACCAACAAATGAGGGCATCTCAAATACTCTGTGTGGCAAAATCCTCACTTTTTTTTATCACGTTGCCTTAGATACAGTGAATGACTCATGGGACAAGTGGAGATATAAGAGCTAATCTATATACTCTACTTTATTGAAGTTTCATTCCTTTTTAAGAATAAGAACAGTATAGGGGTGCCTGGGTGGCTCAGTCAGTTAAACGTCCAACTTCGGCTCAGGTCATGATCTTGCAGTCGGTGAGTTTGAGCCTCACATCGGGCTCTGTGCTGACAGCTCAGAACCTGGAGCCTGCTTTGGATTCTGTGTCCCCCTCCCTATCTCTCTGCCCATCCCCTGCTCGTGCTCTGTCTCACTCTGTCTCTCAAAAATAAATGTGTTAAAAATTTTAAAAGAAAAAGAATAAAAAACAGAATAAATGGAAATTCTAGAGACTAGAAATCTCTAATAAATAAAAGTTCATGCGTGTATACCAGTGGATAGTCTTGTGCATGCTCAGAGTACATGAACCCCAGTTTGGGAACACCGGTTTAAGGCTGAAGGAAAAGTAGATGTGAAACCCTGAATGTCACTTTGTTATCACAGCTGAAATGATTCCCAAAAGACAAACCATGCCCCAGCTGGCAACATGGGCACGTGCACACACACACACACACACACACAATGTACCTTTGTACTCTTTGTACTCTTGTAATAGACCTAAATGAGGCAAATATAGGCCACCCGAGGGATGGTAAAAAGGTTTCAACTCATGTGCCCATTTAAGGTGGCTGATAGCAACTATCTGGAAAACTTTATTGAGAGGATGCCAAGGCTGTGTCGAGGGAAAGCAAACAAGACGATCAATAGCAATATTGTGACTGGTACACGTGCCTACTACCTCCCATCGCCATGCTGAATACACCTTGGCCACTCGTGCTTCTTCCCACTGTGCAGCGTCACTTCTGCTAATCTTATGTTCCACACTGTGGTTCCAGTAAACTGGACCTGAAGGTACCTCCTTCCTCAGTCAGCATTCAAACTTAGAACCAGAAGGGGACACAGGTGGGGGAACTTTTAGTAAGAAAAGTGAGGGGCAGCTGGGTGGCCCAGTTGGCTAAGTGCCCGACTCTTGACTTTGGCTCGGATCATGATCTCACAGTTCATGGGTTCAAGCTCTGTGCTGACAGCATGGAGCTTGCTTGGGATTCTCTCTTTCCCTCTCTCTCTGCTCCCCGCAAAGGGAAGGGAAAGGTAGGGAAGGGGAAGGAAGGGAAGGGGAAAAAAGAAAAGACAGAAAGAAAGAAAAAGAAAGAAAGAAAGAGAAAAGTGAGTAATCATAATGGGACTGGATGGAACAAATTCAGTCTTCTGAATGGCTCTCTCCCATGTGGTAACCACTCTCAGAAATTTTTTTCTCTCCTGGGCAACTGTGAACTGCTAAAGACTAGCAAAGAAAGGCAGTTATAGTTTGGTTGACACTCTGGTGAATTCAAAACTATAAATCTTCTCTCTTCTTTTTTCTACTTCCCTTTTCTATCCATCCTCAAATTATTTATGACCAAAAGAACAACATGGATCCCGACTGATATATAGTAGATTCTGAAGAACACTTCCATTTGGGAAAAAATGTGAAAGGAGAATGGATACTTAACATGTTCCTGTGGAGGTCACATTTGGTGGTGTTTTGCAGGTGTGAAGGGGTGGGATTAGTACCATAATACTCTCATGGGACCATTATATACATGATTTAAAAAGAAAGCCGAACCAATTATACCATCAAATTACTGGGCAGGAGACATACCTCAGGGGTAGTAGGACACAGTAGCGTACTATGACGCCCAGTACCCACACCATGGTGAGCCGCAGACTGATGTAATGGAAATTTACATTGGTCCTTGTGAGGAGATTCCACGACACTAGCTCCTCTGAGGAGAACCTCTGGGTCACTTCATCTTCCACAATGGCTTCCAAGCCCTTCTTGGAGAAATAAAACACGTCAGACAGCTCAAAGTCCCTTCCTCGCAGACCAGAGAGCCCTTTTTCCATGGGTGACTCATCTCTTTGGATAATACCTTAAAAGAAAGCATCAGAACATGAGAAAATGCCATAGGACACAAGAACTGACCAATGAGGCAACTTTGTACAGAAGACAAGTAAACAGATTTAATGGGTAACACGAAGCAGATTTCAAAAATAAAAGACAAGCAACCACAGTGGGAAAAGAGGTGAAATCACTGAGTCTGCATGAAATGGCCTCTACCGAATTACTTCAATTCACTACTGGTCCTCAGTAGCCTTTTTCTTGTTGCATTTCCTCCCTCCACACCGCTAGCGAACAAACTCTCCAGTATAGAACTACACTGTGTGAAAATAAAACCTTCTGTTTACCCCTGATAAAAACCATAAAACCAAAATGCAAGCAAAGTGGCAAAAGGTCTTTACCACAATTGGCAAAAGGCTGCTGTCTTTAATATGCAAAAATTATTTAATAAGAAAATTAGTCTCCTGTGAAAAAGTGAGCAAAGTTCATGAACTGAATTCATGGAAACATTAATAGTTAAGATAATCAGAAATGTAGGCAAGAGTGTTCACTGTAGCATTTTCCATTATAATCGATCCAGACAATGAGATATAATGCATCTAATAAATACCCTAGTTAATAAATACTCTAATGTTAAGTGAAAAAAGGCAAGATCTAAAACTATAGTTCGATCTAACTCTATGAAATATATATGCATAGAAAAAATGTCAAGAAGGCCACATTTAACAGTTGTCTCTGGGCAATACAATTAGATTTTCCTCCTTAAACAGTAATTGTATTTCCCATAAGGAAAATAATTCAAAGATTTTTAAGGTACCATAAATTTTGTAAGTTGAAAAAATGACTACTGTCACCCAGTTCTAACTATTAAGTGAGAGTCATAGATGAGATCTTTGAATAAAGAGTAGTTACACACACAGTGACAAGACCATCTGATTGCCCCTCTGGGGTGTGTCGCAAAGGAATTTACCTCCCAAAGTAGAAAAGTCTTTTCTTTTGAAAGAAGATCCCTTTTGATTGTCTCACTTTCCAGTTTACTGGGAAACCAGTGAGGAGAGTGAAGAGTGCTATATTACCTAACCGCTGGAGAACAAGTGCATGCATCCATAGATGAAGAGGTGATATATCAGTTTTTTGAAGGAATGGAAGCATAAGGCACTGGAGTAGAAAGTAAAGAGGACCTGGAGTCCAAGGTCAAGTTCTGTTTAGGACAAAAACGGCTCTGTGACTGTATAAACAGACAAGTCACCTAAGTTGGTGCCCTCCTTTACAAAATAGAGGGTGGGAAAAGTTTTAGCTTCTTACGGGACTCAAGTTACACGATTTTCCTTTTGGGTTTTTGGGGTGGTTTTTCTTTGTTTTTGGTTTTTTTTTTTTTTGGTTTGTTTGTTTTGTTTTTGGTTTTTGCCAACATGCAAACTAATCACCTTAAATTCGAGCAATAAAGTAAGTTCTGAGATGATTAGATTACCTTTTCCAGCCATCAAGTCTAAGTGGTTTAACCTTTCTTCACCACCTCTGAAAAGGATTTGATTCCTATTAGAGGATGACCCAAGACAGTGTCACTGGTGAATTACCCTCTTGCTCTGTGAACACTGCAATACCACTCAGAGCAGCTTACTCAATCCAAGTACTGACCAATATTTAGCGGGGCAAGAATTTCATTATTTAGCAATATATAGGGTTTTTGTGGGTTTCTTTTTTTTTTTTTTTTAATTAAAAAAAAATACCTCTAGAAGGGTAGGGAGAACAAGCTATTCAGCAAATCTCAGAATGAAACACACTGGAGACAAGTGGACAGCCCTTCTAAACATAATGTTTTTTGGAGGGGCCAGAGATAAAATTTCAAGTTTGAGTTGCCTCATTATTTAACTGAGCGAGGAGAGAGATCTGTAAAGAGGAGCCAGCCCCCAGCGCTTATCCACTTGATGTGCAATATTCTCTCTGCCCCCTGACCTACTTAATTTTGTGGAGCTCAAATAAAATATAACTCAATTTTATATTTTTGTTAAGCCTTTCTTTTTAAGTTTATTCATTTATTTTCAAGAGAGAGCGAGCACAGGTGGAGGAGGGACAGAGAGAGGGAGACACAGAATCTGAAGCAGACTCCAGGCTCCAAGCTGTCAGCTCAGAGCCCAAAGTGGGACTCAAACCCATGAACCGAACTGTAAGATCATGACCTGAGCCGAAGTCAGATGCTTAACCGACTAAGCCACCCAGGCATTCCTTGTTAAGCCTCTTTCAAAAGTATGTGGGTGACTACAATGCATCTAATTGACTAAGGATTAATTTCCAGAATATATGAAGACATACAAGGGGTGCCTGAGTGGCTCAGTCAGTTAAGCGTCAGACTCTTGGTTTGGGCTCAGATCACGATCTCACAGTTTGTGAGTTCGAGCCCTACATCAGGGTAAGAGCTGACACCACAGAGCCTGCTTGGGATTCTCTCTCTCTCCCTCTCTGCCCCTCCCCAACTCGTGCACTTGGTCTCTCAAAATAAGTATACAAACTTAAAAAAGAAAAGACATACAAAAAAATAAGAGAAAGTTTTAAAAATATATGGCAAACAATTCATAAAAAGAGTAAGCCTTAATGACTACACATTTTAAAAGATGTTCAACTCCACTATAAGCAGAGAAACACAAACAAAAACCACAATGAAATGCTATTTTATACCCTTAAGATTAATACAAATTTTAAATTGAATAGTATCCAGTGTTGGTGAAAATTTGGAAAACAATTTGGTACCACCTAGTAAATTTAAAGAAATTCGTAGCCCAAGACCCAGCAACTCTCCTTCCAGGTATACCTCAGGAAGACTTTTGTTTAATAATTTCAAATCTACAGAAAAGTTGCAACAATAGTTCACTTTACCCACATTCATAAATTGCTAACATTTTGTCACATTTGCTTTATTGTTCTATCTCTAGGTATATATAAAATGATACTTTTTTCTGGACCACTTGAGAACAAATTGCAGGCATCATGCCCTTTACGCCTAATATTTCAGCATTGATTTCCTCAACACATGAAGTTTTACTTATTTAACCACAGTACAACTGTCGAAATCAGGAAAGTGGACGTTACTACAATACTAGTACAAATGTACAGCCCTTTTCAAATTTTGACAATGGTCCCAGTAATATCCTTCATATCATTTTTTCTGGCCCAAGATTCAACCAAGGATCATACGTGATATTTACATGTCATCTCTGTAGTGTCCTAATTATATGAAAAAGTTCCTCAGGCTTTCTTTGTTTTTCAAGATATTGACGTTTTTAGGACTACAAACCATTTATTTTGTAGACGGTCTCAATCTGGGTTAATCTGATGTCTCCTCATGGTGAGAGGCATGTTGTACGCTTTAGGCAGAAATACTATATGAACGATGTATCCTCCATGCGTCACACTGGAAACATGTGACATCTGTCCCACGATTAATGACCTGTTCCTTTGACCACTTGATTTAAGATAGTTATTACCAAGTTTCTCTACTATAAAGTTACTATTTTTGTCTTTTTGATTAGTAAGTGGAGAATTATTATCTCTAAGTATGTATAAAGGAGAGACTATGGAAATATTGAGACTATGGAAATATTTGAGACCATGGAAATATCCTGCTCTTCAAACCTTCACCCAATATTAGCAGCTATTAATGGTCCTTCCTGAATAAATTGGTACTATGTGTATTCTAAAATGGTATTTTCTTATTCCTTCCCCATGTATTATCTGGCATCCCACCTTAAAGAAGAGCTTTTCCGGGGCGCCTGGGTGGCTCAGTCGGTTAAGCGTCCGACTTCAGCTCAGGTCACGATCTCGCAGTCCGTGAGTTCGAGCCCCGTGTCAGGCTCTGGGCTGATGGCTCAGAGCCTGGAGCCTGCTTCTGATTCTGTGTCTCCCTCTCTCTCTGCCCCTCCCCCATTCATGCTCTGTCTCTCTCTGTCCCAAAAATAAATAAACGTTAAAAAAAAAAAATTAGGGGCGCCTGGGTGGCGCAGTCGGTTAAGTGTCCGACTTCAGCCAGGTCACGATCTCGCGCTCCGTGAGTTCGAGCCCCGCGTCGGGCTCTGGGCAACGGCTCAGAGCCTGGAGCCTGTTTCCGATTCTGTGTCTCCCTCTCTCTCTGCCCCTCCCCCGTTCATGCTCTGTCTCTCTCTGTCCCAAAAATAAATAAACGTTGAAAAAAAAAATTAAAAAAAAAAAAATTAAAAAAAAAAGAACTTTTCCCTCATGCTCGAGCAATTCTTATAAAATTGTGCAAAGTAGACATATATAAGAATATCTGCCACATTGTGTGCAATAGCAAAATAGCGGAATCAATCTAAAGGTACATAAGATAGATAGCAATGTATTAAAATAGCAAATCATTATGTTGTACACCTAAAACCTACTGTTGTGTTAATTATACCTCAATAAAAATAAATACTAAAAGGCAGTTCATATAAAAAAGAGATGGATACATACAGTGCATACTACACAAGAGCTAAAAGAAATTAACTAGAACAATTACTCCCTTAGGTAATTTGCAAACATCAGCAGGAACAAACAACTCAGAATGATATGTGGAAGGTGATATTTTTATAGAGCTTGAATAATGCAAAACAATAAATACTATGTATCGTTTAAGGATATATGCATGTATAGGGGGAATATGAAAAGATGCATAAAAATAATAAACATTAAAATCAGAGTAATAGGTTTCTGTAAAGTTTTATTTATTAAACTAAGTAGTGGCTACACATGTGCTATACCCCCCCCCCCAA